CACGTTGAACTCCTCGGAGTGCACAGAACAAGGCAAAGACATCTGCCAGAAAAAAAAAAAAAAAAATTGGCTTCTACAACCAAATATGTACTTAATAAGGGCTGAAATGGGAACCAAGAGGAGAAGTGTCAGGTACATCAAAATGAAAGAGAGTTGTGAAAACAGGGCTGCTAGTATAGATCCATAATAAAAAAATAGTACCTAAACTTGGTTCAGATTGCCCCATCTGTAACTTGGTATTAGTCTGTTATCGACACAAACTCCATGGAATATTAGTTCACCATTTGTTTTTTCCTTAAATAATCACACATATTTTTATTATCAACATGATTTTTTCTCTGTGTGGAATAGAATAATCCTTCATAGGAAAAATGGGCACAGGCTTTAAGATACTAGTTCTTTTTAACTATCCTATATTCCATGTGACATGTAGATTCCTACTTGAATTTTCTGTTAATCATGGGAAAATTTTACACCTGTCCTTTAGGAGAAGAAGAAGTGGGAGAGGTTGTAAAAGGAGGAGGAGGTCAGGGCTCTTGCTCGGTTTGTTCATTTGGTGGAGGTTTTTCTTTGTTTTTGCTGGCTGAAGAAGTCTGGAATGGCTCCGGCTACGGAGAGACCTTAGCAAGAGGCACAGACTGAGATCTATGAACACTCTGATGCTCTCCAGAAACAGCTAGGTTATTTGTGTGATGTTAGAAAGGCGAGCTTTGGAAAGCACTTTAAGAAGGCTGCACTCATTGTCAGGGAGTAGGTTTTATTTGGCTTTTTGATGGAGGGCAGGTTTGAACAATTCTTTATTCCTGTCTGCTATGGAAAATCTAAGAGAGCCTCCTTGGTGGTGACCTTGTAGCACCGTGCGTCTTGGCCGGAGGAGTGGTACCAGCCCGCCAGCTACTGCTTGGGCAGCGCAGATAAAGAATGAGGATGGGCACTGGCGAGAATAGCCTGGGAATACGCAGCTCCCTGCCTTGGGTCCCATAAGGATGGGTTTGTCACAATAAATAAATAACAAGGGGATGGTGGGGGATAGAGATTAATTGGGTGACTGTTCTACCGCCAATGGAGTCTCACCATATGGTGGACATAATCCTCCTTTGCTGATGTTGGTTTACTCACCAGTGTAAAATTGCATAGGAGCAGACCCGGAGACTTTGACCAAAGCTACCAGATCGGCTCATCGCACATTTTCGTCTTCACTTGCCTTTATACATGAAGTCAGGCATTACAAAACCACCCTAAATACTGTTGTTATCGTTAAATTGAGTTAGAAAATACTCCGGAGAGAAATACAGAAATGATTTCTTGTTTTTCAAAATACCTGATAAGACAAAAAAAGGCAAGCGAAACAGAAGCTGCGAGTGACTGGAAATATCCCTTCTAGGTGACTTTGGATCCACTCTAACAAGTAATTTTCTAGATAATGTAGTTGAAGGCTTCCTAAGCGGGCACTGCAGTTGCCGTTGTAATGGCTGTATTGGTGGGAATGATACTTTATTATCTAGAGAGCGGCTTGAGAGCTCAGCCCCGTGCTTTTTACTCCTTTTAGTAGCTGTGCCTCTGAAGGTAAATCACTTAACCTCTATGTGCCTCCTTCATCCCTGCGTAAAGTGGGCATAGTTATGCTCACCTTTCCCACAGAGGTATTGTAAAGCTCAGTTTAATGTTAATAAGATGTTTTAATTTCCAGGATAAAAGGATGTTCTATAAATATACATTAGAAGTAATAATAGTTTTAATGTATGCCATTATTTTATAACAGTGCTTTTCTAGTTTTAGAAATTTTTTAGTGGTGTGAAATTATTACAGAATCCGTTTTTGTTAATTAGAGATTGACATTCGGGCAAAATTTGTTGAATTGTTCTATAAATTCAGATCCATGTGCACTGAGCATGCCCGGAGCCCTGCTCACCTGCACTTTGGGATCATCAGTACAGCCCTTCGGCTTTTAAAACAACTCTTTGATGCATGTGCTCAGAAGTTTGATGGCTTCTAAATAGAATGGTTCAAATATTTCAAAGCACTTGAGGTTCGTATAGTGCGAAGCAATTTAAAATTATTGTACTGCAATTAATTTTAAATAACTGAGCACTGCATATGTCTAGAAACCCATACAGATCCAAATGGAAGCTCTCTAAAAATTGAAATGATTCAATAAATTTAAATCACTCTGAAGAAATGGATGTAAGTACTGTAAATCATTTTGTGAGGGGGATAAGCAAATTTTCTAGAAGTGAATCTGAGGGTAGAGACTCTAATTAGATTTTTTATTTTGGGGTTTATGATGATGAAATGTAGGTTAATTTATATTTCCCAGGGATATGAGGGCAGCTCTTGTTGATCCATATGGTTTCGTGTAGCTCTTACATAGGCTGCTTTTTTTTAATTTCTCAAGATTACAGAAACTTAGCAATCCAACTTTGCACATATTTTTTTTTCCATTACAAATATCTTTCCCTCCAAATCTGTATAAAAAGACATGAGAAAAATATTGGTCCACAGCTAGAAATGCCAAGTATATTTTTAAATGCAGCTAAAAAAAAAGTACTGCAGAATTAAAACATTGTGCAGCATGGAAAGCTAACATTTTGTGGAGCTGGGCTGCTCAGTGCATATGAATTTTTATATGTCTAAATCACTGAATCAGGTACAACCTGTATCTGTAGGTACCAAAGTGGATTATGTCTGATAGCTGTTCGTTAGCTTAGAGCATGTTCTCTGTCCTTCCCTTACAGATGTATTAGAAAGATGCTATCTAATGCAGGAAGGCTGGTAAAAATATTGATGCGAGACCTATCGGAAAGTAATGTCATTTCCATTGGCTTCAGCTCAGCTCCAGGAAAATCCGCACGCCGGTTCCTCCTTCTGCCGCAGCGAAGCGCGGTTGCGTGCGGCTCTCGGCGCCGTGCGCTGAGCTCGAGGATTACAATTCCTCCCAAGTATTGGAGCCAGAAATTAGAAATTAGTGCTACCGCCGACACTTGCCTGACCCTTCCGTTTCCCTAACAGCCACAGGAAAAAAAATAGGACAGCGCGGTCCCTCCTCGTGCAAGTGCTCAGCACTTGCTGTTGGCACGCGCGCTTCCTCCGGAGACGTTGCCACCTCTCGGCAAATGGCTCGCCAGGGTCCGGCCGCCATCCCGCGCGCTGGCGGCGAGATGTCCCGGCTCCTCGGAATGGGACGGAGCCCTCTGCGGCCGAGGGTGCCGCTCCGCCAAGCTAGTCATCGTGGGCTGGGGAGAAAATCTCTTTGTGCATTTGCTCCATGTCTGGTGGGCTCTTCCTGGGCGGAGGAGCCGCGGAAAGCGAGAGGGGCCCTGCCGCAGGGTCTTCCTTAAGGCCTTACCTTACTTTTAGACAGTTGTCATTATCTTTGTCTAAAGGTCATGGCTAAATTGAATAAAAGGAAAGCTGTGTGTTCCTGTCGATGCACAATGGCAGTATTGACTTTCCTAATCCAGTTTGCTGAGGGGTGAGAGAATTAAATTAGATATCTAAGCACAGAAATTGAGAGCCTTTGAAAACAAAGATAAGGAGACAGCCTGTATTTTCCTTTTCCTGGGAGCTCTGGGCTCAAGATTTTGCAGGTGTGTCATCTGATCCATGGCTTGCATCGATCAAAACTGTGCCAATGCATATTTAATTAGCAAGGGGACCCTGGATGCATTATGGCCATCATCCCTATATTGAATGGACTGTCAGACTTTCTGAATGCTTCCCCACCCCCCCGCTTCGTTGTTTGGGGAGCTTCTGCATTTTGTCTGAGCAGCTAAAAGTTTCTTTGTTTTTAGCTGGTGATGCATACAGCACCACTGAGGAGAATACAAACAAGTAAAGTCCTAAAGTGTTTATTTTGTCTAGGAAAAAGGGCTGAACCAATTTGAATCCTTTGGGTAACGGATTTTTGTATCTCTTGGAATTAAAAAAACACAGTCGCATGATGTTTACTTTAAGAATATTTTATTATAACAAATAAAATCTGTGCTGTGGGATTTCTTAAGGAAGCCTTTGATGACAATTTGAATTAAGTCAAAATTAACGTTTGCTACTGCAAAGGAATAAACAGAAAATGTTCCAGAAATGAATCAGTAAGCAGGAATCAAAGGCTGTAAACTGTTTTAAAAACAAACATTTAGAAGTGAATCAAATACTTGTTTGTAATATCAAGGAACAAATATGGGAATACACAGATTCCCCACATTCTAGGCTATCACACGATAGCAGTAAATCATTTATGGGCTTGTGAGAACAAAGAAAGTTGATTTAAAACGAAACCGTTCTGATAGAGCTTTAGGGTCTCGCAGCCTCTCGGTGAAGTTTCACGTCCTCCTTTCCTACCAGGAGGAAAGTAGTCGGGAATTTTGGCGTCCAAAAGAAAAAGTTAGGCGGGGAGTTGGTGAGATCTTTGTTTGCATCTACCTTGGTACAAAGCCGCCCCAGCAGACAGAGTGTTGCCTGATAAACAGATGTAATACACAAAGTCTGCTCACAATACCGAGCAACAGACTGCGGGCACATGTTTTGGTCTCATTCAAACTCATCAGCATAGTCTAGCTGGCTGTTTTGTTGCTAGTCTACTTACGGGGTAGCTTAGTAGCGTCTTACTGGTGAAGTAACAAGGAGGGGTTTTTGCCACAAAAGTTTTGTGGCAAGGGCTCATGGGAAAATCATTTGCATACATCTTGTTACAAAGGCTGACTACTTCCTGGCTTAGACAAAGTGTTGCCTGATAAACAGACTTAACACACAAATGTCTGTCTGGAATAAACAACAGCAAGCTTTGATTTACATTTCCATTATCAAAGATAATCTCTTTCCCAGTGTACAGGAATTAAGAGTCCTCGCCTTATTAAAAAAAAAAACAAAAAACAAAAAACCAACACCCAGGCTGGCACCACAGGGATTTTACCACTGCAGAACCTCATTCGTGAGCTGCAGGGATGGGGCGTACTGTACAGGGGGGTATAAAATAAAACTGGAAATCTGGTACGGATACGGACATGTGTGACGGTGAGGTGTATGATAGTGAAGCACTTTGAACTCCCTATAAAAGTTGACTTGAAAGCCATGGCTGGAGTTAAACGGAGAGCCAGGCCTTCCTTAAAAGAAGTAGTGGTAGCCACCGAAATAGCTGTAAATAATAATTGTAGCATATATGGAGCAATCCCTATGTGTTTATATTATAATGTATAATGAAGGGAAAGTGAGTGTAAAAAAGCCTCGGTCCTGGTGCTGGTTTCTGTTTGTAAATCCCTTAAGCTCACCACGTAAGACTGTATATAAAGGAGCATGATTTAGATATTTTTTTTTTTAACGTGTGTAAATCTTTGGTGGAATCCATGCCCAAAATTATAAATGAAAAATTTATTGCATGAACACAACCCAGCCATATAAATTTTTTATTGCAAATAGGACTCTGAAACTTGAATAAAATATGTCAGTTTATTATGCAATATTTCCCCCCCCCCCTCCAAAACATGATATGAATGGAAAATTTAACTTGTGCACTTCTGTGGTGCTTCTGCGAGGTGCTGGGCTGGCAGCGGAGGAGAAGGAGCCCGCTTTATTTAGCTGCAGAGCAGGCTCAGCATGGGCAGTGGCAGCACAGCCGTGCTCATCTGGCATCGCCGGGAGCTTTTTTTCCCCACTACGTGGGGATCACCTTTGCTGTTTAGAGGATAGATGCATCTGCACCTGGATTAGCACGCTGGCTGCTAGCGAGGGCTCAGTTTCTGGTGAGGGTTGGCTCTACGTAGGTAAAAAATAATCCTGACACCCATTAATTCCGTTTGCAGACCATAAGGCTGGTCCCTGTAGGTCACCGCCATCCCAGGCGGGATTCAGCACGCTCTGGAAAACACGGCGTGTCAAGAAAGTGTGAGTGCCCAAGAAAGTCCCGTTTCTCCGAAGTCAGTTAGCCATGAAGTGGTTTAGCACTGGGAAGTGCCATGACATTCAAAGCAGGCTTTTTTGGTGGAGGAGTGTGACAACTCTTCACCGTCTGTGTCACAGTCTACAAAAAAGAACAACATTGTCAGTCTGTTGACATTGGTCCTGTCCACGGGCCAGACTTTCCTGGGAAGGTTTTATTCTTTCCAAACAATGGAGCGCTCCCTTCCAGCGCCGCGAGCCCTGCTTCCACGCAGCCGTCGTGCAGCCTGGCTGGAGCTGCGCTACTGCTGTAAACTGAAAAGGAAAATTGCTTATTGAAAAGTCCAGACCTTCCATCCTGGAGCTGAAGGTCTCTGCTGGCTTACGGTTTGAGATCAGGCAGATCTGGGTCTCCGGCGTAACCACCTCGGTCACACCGGGGTAGCGTATGCTTAAGAGACAGATCCGAAGAGGAACAGAGAATAGAGACGTAGTAGGAACTGGTACTTCAGAAAAACTAGCCTGTTTTGTTGTTGGGTTTTTTTTACTTTATCCCTTAATCATAGTTGATTCTTGGAAGTAGAGAGTAAAATACCTTCGACATGCTTTTTATCCTGTTTCCCCATGATTACGGCTGATACCAGATCCCCTTGAGCTTCTCTTCTCCAGTAACCTTGACTCCAGTGTACGTACTCACGCTACCTCCAGATAGTTCAGGGTTAAAAATTCCAACCACTAACTTTTCTTTAACTAAAAAAGCCCCCAAATAAAACCCATTGTGCTATTCAAGGTTAAGCTTCCTTAAACATAAAACTAGATTCCTTGGTGATTTTTATTTTTTTTTTTTCAAATCAGCAATCTTAATAGTGGTTCCTCGCTATAATATTTCCAACTCCATCTGAAATCATTTAAATCCTCCCCTTAATAACACGCACTTTATTGTAATATACAGATTCTTTGGCTTCCTACCAGCCTTAGCTTAAGGCACCAATGAAACTCGCTGCCGCAGGGGGCCGTGGATTCAAGAGGGGCTCGCATCTACTGTATATTTTGTTTTGTATGTTTTCCAATGGCTCTAATTATTGCAGGTGGTAGGATTTAACTGGCAGTGTTGTTGCTAAAGAAAATAGGCATAAAGTGTATACTGTTTTGCAGAGTGGCTATCAAATATATAGAAAAGAGAAAATCAAATGAATTGTTAAACTGCTCTATAGTAAGTGATTTTATTGATTTAATGCAAATGCTTATGAAAACGATCTTCCATTTATATCAATTATGTATGGGCAAAAATTAATTTATTCCTCCGGTCACCTGTTTGGCTAACTGACTCAGCAGGACCGACGTTCCCCCTCCCAATGTAGCCGAGCCTGCAAAACACTAAACATTCAGAAAACTGGAATTTTAAAGTTTCTATGTGCAAAACAACAAAAAAGCCCCGACAGGAGTTCCTGCCAACTGCTGAAAAAGCAGAGAGCGAGTGATGGAGGCTGAGCAAGACTCTCTCGTCCTAGGCAAGACTGTAAAATACAACGGCTCTGATTTTGCCAATCCCTTAACCATGTGGTGGCACATTTATATGTACCGGCTCATCTGCGGCATCTGAATAAAATCAGGGAAGCAAAATTCTGCATATAAACATTTTGGCTAAGTGCCTCAACTCAGTCTTCTTATCTGGGGTTTCCACAAGATGCCACCTTGCATAACAATGCTGAGCATACGCTTGCCCAGTACATGTTTTCGGTAGCCTCCCGTGATCTCTACCGCGGTATGGGTTGGTTTTAATGCAACCTCGCCCTGCATTTTATTGCCCCGTGCCTCTCCGTGAAGAATAGCACTTACAGCCTTTGTTGTCTTTTTTAGAAATTAATATTTAATTTCTGCAGAAGGAGTGGGTTACAGGAAAAGAGAATTAGGAAAAATGTTATCGCAGTAGCCGGAGTAATAAAAGAAGAAAGTTAAGATTCAGTATGCAAACAAATGTCCTACGTCCAGTAGAGTCTCTCTTCTGCCACTAGCTTTGGTGTTGGAAAAACAGCACTCAACGCAAACAAAAGTACTTTGTTTCTCAAAATCCAGGAGCAGCTCCGGCTCTGCGTGCTGCCCACCGGCTGCAGGGCTGTGCCAGGGAGCGAGGGTGCCAGGCTGGGTGCCGAGTGCCCCAGCCCCGAGCCCAGCTCCTGCGGCTGCCACGCAGCCCTCGTCCCTCTCGTTACTTTGCTGGGTCGTTTAAAATTTTGGAAGGAAAACATGCTCCGAATCCCATTTTTTGCAGTAACTTTTTCAAATATATAAAAATTTTTGTGGAATTCTGACCTTACTTTAAACATAAAGCCCAAACGCTGATTGAACCATGGCTTGCTGGAGGAAAAGAAAAACCTAAAAAATAAGCAAAAGCCCAATGCCTGCCCTGTAAAATGAAATCCGTTGAATGTTGACTTTGAATGTTAACTAAATATTTTACATTCCTAATATTTTACCTTTGTTTCTACCTTTCTGGTATCGGAAACATGAAACTTCTTGCCAAAATCTAGTGTCCAGAATATAACGGCACTGTGTGTATTACCCGGTAGTCTCTCTGCTGCCACTGATTTGAGCTTCAGTTAAAGATAGCTCAGAAGATCAATATTTAAAACAAAATTGCAGAAGTGAGAATATTTTTTTTTCACTGAGCTTCATTAGAGAAATTATTAAAAATAATAAATACTAAAGAAAGGAAATGGATTCTGGACACACTGGGAAACATTCCACTTTTTGGGAGAATTTCATTGGTTTTAAATAGAAGTATCAGGACTGGAGTTTTCTTTGCTAAATATTCTGAATGTTTATATTCTGAAATTTATCAAAATTTGTTTTGTGGGCACATTTTTCACTTGTAGTTTTTAATTTATACAAGATTGTCCTCTAAGCTTCTGAATGATACCTAATGCATACAGTCAGCAGGTAAAAAAAAAAAAATCTGAATATTTAAAATAGGCATTTTCTTTATAGTGCTCTGCGGTAATTAAAATCTTCATTTGCTTAAAAGCAAGGAACCTTTTTAAAGCAATAAATTAGCATTGCTTGACCCAAGGTCACTAGTAGTACTGCTTCTTCCAGCGCTATTAATACCTCAAAGAAAAAGAAGGGGTGGTGTTATCACTCTGTTGCAATAGAAGTAAGATTTTCAATTTAATCACAGTTAAGTGTCATGACCTTTTGATCTTGCATTGACTTCTCACTGAAATGTGGTCAAATTTCAGACAGCTAATTCTAAAGTCTGCAAAGTCAAGGTGAAGTCAGAAAATAGGTCTGCCACAATTGGGGTGGTTTTGATGCAATAGCAAGTGGTTTCATTTCTTAAGTTTTGTTTCATGGCAAAAACTTTTTTAATGGGATCAGTAAATTGCAGAACAAGTTCTGAGGGGGAAAAAGAATAAAATCTTTTTCTATTTGTATTAATTGTAAAAACAGTAATTTGAGGGATTTTTTAAAATGTGCTTTTCCAAACAGATAAAGGGACATTTTTTCCCAATTCGTAGTGATAGAAATAATTAAGAAGGAAACTACTGTATGACTAAAGCTTCTACTAAGAATAATTTTTGAACCGAAGAGCGATCATCCTCACGTCGAGTAGAGTTAATAATGTGTAAAAAATTGTAAAACACTCATATTTACACGTATCCTTTTATAGGTCATTTTATTATTTTAGGCAAATAAATTGCGTTCATTGGAGAGCGTTAGCAGGGAGTTCATAGGACCCATTATTTGCACAAGTTCTAAAGCAGTTCATCCAGTATCTGGTCTCATTTATACCACTGCAAATCAGGGGCAAGGCCGTACATTCCAGGGATCTCGTAGTACTGTAGCCACTGTGAAAGTATGATGAAAATCAGCTCTTCTATCAGTTTTTGCAGATTTTTTTTTCCAGAAATGTGTAGACAACAATCTCCACGACTTTGCAGTGTTGCTTGGTTACCTTTATATGCCTTCTTGAAAATATGTTTTGAGACTTTACTATGTGTTGGATTAAGGCTCTGGTTTGTATACAACATAGAGGCTGCATTATAAAAAACATGTAGGAGAGTAGTTTAAATATGCCTTCTCTAAAAAGAAGGATTCTCAACGCTTAATTTATGCTAACACACACACCAAGCACTCTGTGTAGTGCCGTAAACAAGATTCCCTTTTTTTTTCCTAGCAAAAAATATTACCTAGGCATGGGACTTTTGCATTATCATGTCCTAGTGCAACACTCCTGTCCTGAGTTTATACTCTCAGCCTTTTGAGGAAGTCTGGCGCCTCTGATCTATTTTCCACAGCAGACCCTGTAATTTTTGGCTGTATTTTATGTTTTTCAGATTCAAGTCAATCTGAAAGTCCCAGCCAGCCAAGTGAAGCTGATATTAAGGACCAGCCAGAAAATGGTAAGTTCTTACCTGCTGCTCCTGCTTTGGGATAGTAAAACAGCCCATATTTATAAAGATTTTTTTTTTCCCTATGTCTAATATAAAAGGATTATTCAGAATAATTGACATGGGATAGCTCCAGATAGATTGTGTGCTCTCCTCATAGTTAAAATGCTACTGTTTCACTCGTCTAAGGTAGCATTTGTTCCTCCAGTCCTGGAGAGAGACCTTTTTTCCCCTTAAAAAATAATTTTAATTAGGGAGATGCCATTAAAGAGCCTGCTGTATGCAACCCTTATCCTTATTCCTCCGTAGCAAAGGCTTTCAGTCCCTGGGCCGTGAGTCATGACCCCCGAGGGGTGTGTGCCTCATCGCTTTCGTTTTTATCTATGTGCTTTTAACATCATTTTGTTTATCGATGCTCTCGCACGGCACGCTGGAGTACCTGACTTTCGGTGTGCGGCCAGCCATCATTTCAGACCGCGGGATCTCAGATAGCCCCGCGAAGCAAAATGGTTACTTTGAAATATGTTTCTGCAGACCCGTTCTCTACTGCAAAAAATCTGCTAAACAAAACCCAGCAGCAGCGCTCTGAAACGTTGCAATTTCGGGGCAGGACTGAGCACCTATAAAGGCACCGGCTGCTGGGGCAGGTGCCCACTGCAGGGCTGACACAGGTGCTACTGGTATTGTCTGTATTTCTTGATCGACGTGCTTTAAAGGTTATAGATGCTATGGGTGAGCGGGGCAGGGAGGCTCAACTAGAGCTTGTTGCTCCATCTTCTCTGTGTGTTCCCCATCCGTTGTTTCAGGTGGCAGCAGCTTGAGCTTATTTGGAAGTAGCAGCAGGACTGTGACTTTTGGGAGCACTGATATTTTCTGAACTGGGACAGTTTGAAAGTAGAAGCAATAGCTTCTGCTGAATCAATGGCTTGCATTGTAAAGCAGCCTGGAAAAAAAAACGTTCAATAATAGGGGATTTCTGTAGGGACTGTGTGTGAAAGGATAAGTCCGTGTGTAAGGGAACAGCTTCTCTTCCTTGTTGTGTTTAAGTAAGGTAGACCTCAACAATTTTTTGTTGGCCCATCGGCAACCGAGTTTTGGTTTACTACTTATATTTAGGACTTAGAAATAATGTCTCCCAAAATGAAACTGATTATTATTAATAGCTTTTCTTGACTTTTTTTTATCCATAACCAGCTTTTTTTTAAAAAAGACCTAAATGTAGCTGGGGGATCTGCTGTATTGGGGTCTACTGTGCATAAACAGAAAAGAATTTGTGTGAAGGGTTTATGTCTCTACAACCTATCACCATTTTTGGTACATTTGAATCCATCTCATGTAGAAGTATTGTATCTATAATAACACAACTGTGGTTGCCCTTTCACAGAGCAAATAACTGGTTTTGCCTCAAATCTTTGCAGTGCATCCCCACAGCTGTACATGCGGTCAGTGTGTGTTTTGGGGACTTTATTAGCAACCGAACAAGTCGCAAGTGGGAGTGAGGTTGGAGGGCTGCATTCACATCCAGACTGCATTTGGATCAGGGTTTAAACAGCAGATAGAATTAAGGGAAGAAGAAGAGGTTTAGATACATAAAAAACTTTAAAGACACTGTAGGACACAGAACATAGGGCTCGTTGGGCTGGCAAGATTTTGGCTTTTGGGGTTCCTCTATTTTCCTCCCATTGAAATATGAAAGGTTTCATATTTTGATAGATTTTGTGCTGCTCATCTCTAAACATACCATCTTAAAACATTTCTGTTACTTCTGAAAGACAGTGCCTAATTTCCCTTATCAATCGTGTTCACAGAAATTCTAATTTGTAGCCAAAGGATTGCGAGGTTAAGAGAAGAACTGACTAAACTGTGATTTTTGTTCTGCCAATTCTGGGTGGTTTTCTTTTTTTTTTTTTTGTGGGGAATATGTTGCCTATGTTTATTAAATCATATTTTAATTTGGAAATGTATTAGGCACCAAGCATGTTATTATTTCATGTTTAGATAATATTCTTGCTCAGCTATTAAACCACAGTTCTTCTCTACCCTGCAGTCCTAAGGAAGCCTGTTACTCAACAACTGCCCCGACAAGCAGCAATATCAGTGCTAAATAATGTAAAATCTGTAAGAGCCTAGTGAAATGAAATATCTCTGATTTGGAGCCCAAGTCTTCCTTGTAAAACAAGCTTTTAGTGAATTCTTGGAACTTTAATGGTGACCTGCAAAAGGTACTTTTTTCTAATAAACAGGAAAAGGATTTTGCTTTTTCTCAGTTTTACTAAAGGGTATTTTTCCCCACCACAGCAGAAGCCTCCTAACTGATTACGCACCTTTTGCAGTGCCTGTGTGGGAGATTTTCTTTACGCACGCGTCCGAGGCAGTCTGTTGGCCCTGAAGGGGTTGCTCCCCTTGGGCAGACGCTGAGCTCATTCCCAGCACACACAGCCCCCAGCTTGCAGTGTACCCAGTGTGTAGATCAACACAGATCTGCAGCTCTTATCTGCTGAACGTGAGGATGAAAGCAGAACTGCAGGCTTTAGAAAATGAAAAACTGCACGCACAGAAACGGACACAATAAATCATATTAACTGCGTTGTTCTACACTTGCTGTAGACTCACTTCCACAGGGCCTGATCCAAATCCCTCCGGAGTCAATGGGAGTCTCGTAATTGATTTTACTGAGAGTGGGAATGAGCCCACACAGAGAGGAATTTTTTTTTTTTTTTTAAATCAAAGAAAAATTGTATTGCGAACAATCTTATTCCCACTGACGCTAATGGCAGAATGGCCAGATTGAGGGCAGATTTGGAATCAGGTTGCATGTGTTTCTGGAAGGCACAAATCAGGGTATCGATTAAGTACTACCCTTTACATGCATGCATTCCTTCATTTAAAAAAAATAAATCTTTAAAGGCCTTGTGAGGGTTATACAGCCTCTCTACTTGCCTGTTAATATCCTTTCTGTTCCACTCCATAAATTCTAGAGCTATTTATTATACACATATATTTTGCATACCTTGAGTAATGTAGGTTCAAAAGGGTCAACTATACAGCCCTGAAAAAGAAGGCCTCCTACTACAGATTTTAATTTATCATTTTAAATTGTACGTGTTATTTTGGAAAGCCTGTATGTCTAACCTTCATCAAAGTGGAGTTCATGGGAAAAAAAGCTTTTCTTTTTTGGAGCCACTCCTTTTTTCTAGCGGGCTTTGCAGTTGCATTTTCTGGAGCAGAATCATCGCAAAGAGAGAAGATGGTGACATCTTCTGCCCTCAGTGGTGGCTTTAACACCAACTCTAGCCTTTTTTTCATCCTTCATTAAGCCAGAATAGTTTTCAGGCAGTCACTTACCCGATCATTACTGCAAAAATGTACAGGAATATGAAGCATTTATTTTTTTCTGGAGAGAAAGGGAGAGATCCAGCATGATGGTCATGAAAAGCAAACACATGGGCGAGACAGAGCTCGTCCGTGCATGCGTGGTCCGAGGTCCAGATGTCTTGTGCTGGAACCGAGGGTAAAGCTAATGTGTAACCCAATGGTGTGCACAGTGCTGCTGTCTCTTCGGTCTGTTGGCATGGCAAAGAGCTTCTCGAGGAGAGGAAGAAAACCCAGAATTTATCTGTTTGTTACGTGGGTGAGGAAATTTGCAGGAGGGATGATGAAAGGGGCCAGCAACTTTGTTTGAAAGGCAGGAGCGTGTTCCGATGTCCTGATATTTTGCTCAAATGAGGGTTTTTTTTTTCTGACCAACTGGGTGGAACACCCGTGTGGAAAATTCCCCACTTTTGTAGTTGCCTAATGGTATGTAAAAGCTTCGTTTCAGTTGGCACCGCAAAGTGATTTTGCAATTCGCCCAATCAAAAAAAAAAAAAAAAAAGGTTATTGATTTTAAAAGCTTGTTAAATGCACTGGTTCGGTGCTGTATTTTATAAACAAACTAGTTTTCAGTGACCTAAGGATGACAAAATGGCTAGTCTGATGTAGTGAAGTGACTGCATGCCTGGGGATCAGGAACAACTGAATTCCGGGCTCAGCACTGCCGTGGACTCTCTCTAGGGCTTTTATTCTCTCTTTCAGTGGTGGAAATGGCTATCGGATAGATTTTCTTTTTGTAAGTAGGGTTATTTTAAACTTTTGTAGGAAAACTTCTCAGTCTTTTTGTCTGCAAAGTGGGGTTATTTGTGATTCTAGCTTTCAGAGATTCGTTGGATATTAAAAGTGAAATCCTGCTCTGCTCCAGCAGGAGTTTAACTCTGAGGAAAGGCAAGGAGGGTGTAGCACAAACTGGTTAATAATTGTGGCACAGGGCTGTGTTGTTACTGCTGTCAGTAAATGGATGTCAGACATCGACCAGGCGATGTTTGTGTTTGATGTGGTAGTACTGGAGAATTAATAACTGCAGCGTAAAGGTACACACGAAGCGTGCTGTGTAAAGCAGAAGAATGCTGTGTCATTTTCTACAGGCAACCGATGTCTCTCGAGCATGTGGTATTGTGATTTGATAACTCAAAGTCGGTAGCACACCACTTTAATTGTAGATTAGCAAATTCTTTTTAAAGAAGTTGGTAAATTCTCCCATTTCAAGTGAGCAAGACAGCACTCATTATTACAGCTGATTACAAACGTGTGCCAAATTCATTGCTCAAACAATTTCTGTAGAGGGAGAGGCATTTATCTAAAAAATAAAAATGTTTAATGCCCAAACTGAGTGCTTTTTAGTTTTAATGTATTCTTGCTGCTTTGAGCTGCAAGTACCTTAACGGCACTGCAGGAAATGAAAGGCACATTGTTCTTTGTAACATTAAAAAAAAAAAAAAAAAGAAAAAAGAAAAACAATGATGTACCGTAACTCACAGAACTCGTTTTTCAACTCTGCGGTAATTACACTGGACTTGTAAATATCATCTGTGAATTCTTTGCTTAAGTAGGGCTGGACTTGAGTATTACGCCTTAAAAAATGTTTAAGTATATGCTTGCTTTTCCATGCCTAAAAACATAAAGGAAGAAATTCTGGT